CTCTGTCTGACTCCCATCCCACCACGGTGCCCAGAACTGAAGGGGAAGCGGGTGCAGTGCCTCTGTGTGACCAGGTCCCTGTCAGCTCTGCCAGTCTTACCCACACTACACTTCCCACTGCTGCAGCCAGAGCCTCTTTCCCTCTGTTCCCCTCCAGGACAGACCATTTCCAAAGCCCTGAATCACCCCAGGAGAGGAGAAGACAGAAAGGACATCTCCCACCAGCCCAGTCCTTCCTGGTCAGATGAGTTTTGTGCACTGTGAACTGTTGTCACCCATCGGAGGCGCAGGACTTGCCCTGACTCCCCGCTCTGCCGTGTGCTCCCAGGGTGCCTGGACCCTGCAGACAGGCACCAGGGCTGCTTACCCACCCAAACAATGCCTGCAGACACTCTCAGGTGTGCCTGCAGCCATCAGTCACCACCAGCTTGACTCCTCATCCCATTTGGAGGCCAAAGGAATGGGAAAGAATCATCCAATGGGATTACCCACTCTGCCAACCCCGGGGAAAATGGTTGAAAAGACAGGATGAGAACCGTGAAGACTTTTCAGGTAGAGGTGATTAATGAAGGGGAAAGAAAAGGGATCAACTAAACATAATAAGGGACACCAGGAACTCCCTGGAATGAAATCCTGCAGTCCTCACATCCCTCTGTGGCAGCAGAGCGAGAGGAGCTCGGTGCTGTGGGAGGATGTGATTTCCCTGGCTGTGATGAGGGTGGAGGGAGCCTGTTAGCTATTTTAGTAAACACTGCCCTGCAAATACCTCCCTGGACCACCACGGAGGTGATAAAGCCCCAGGTTTGCCTGGAAGGAAGTTTTTCACTGGGAGTGTTTGGCAGGCTGTTCTCACATAGTTCCTGGTCAACTCCTCGTCCCAGACGAAGTTTCCTTTCAGCTGAATGAGAAACTTGCTCGGAAATTGCTCTGACATGAGACACATCCCAGTCTGGGAACCCTACGGCAGCGCACAGCACGGAGCAGAGCCTGTCTAACACCAGGCTCCCTGCGCTGCCTGTGCCAAATCCCCTATCTGAAAACACAATATGTTTCCCTTCTCTCACTGCACTCGCACTTGGTTTTGTTAAACACTCTCTAGGCATCACAGAGGGCCAAAAATCCGAGAGGCAGACACTGCTGACGTCAGGCACACGTGCAGGTGGCGGGTGCATCTCCCGGCCCCACGGGGGAATGGGCTGGGAAGAACCAGAGCCAGCACTGGGAACAGAGTCTGGAGGCCGTTCTCCAAGTGCCTGTCAGCGGGCTGCAGCCCTGGGTTTGTCCAGCAGCGCTTTAAACGGCCAAATGCAAAGGTATTTCATGGTAACTAAAGGGAAGGTGCTTGTCCGGGTTCATTTCCAGCACTCGGAATGACACCGCTGTTCCTGACAAATTGTGGAACGGTGTCATTTTAGTGATGTCATTAAATCTGGTCCAAGCCCCTGCCTGCATTTTCATGTGTCCACACCAGCTCACCAGCAGTTGAGCTCCGACAACTTTTTAGTTCAAGCCTTTTCCAGCTGCAATCTCGTCTCCCAGGGGAGCTGGAAGCTTCATCAGGACAAACCGGGTTGGAGACATGAGGCTTGGGCTGGACCAAGGCTGAGCAAACAGAGCCAGCCCAACGGCACTGGAGAGGGGGAGGATGGAGAACAGACCTCCAAGCTTGTCTCCAAGCTGTGTCCTCCCTGGAGCACGCTCGCTCCCAGGCACTCCGCCAAAGCTGGACTGTAAAGCCAAGCTCTACGTGGATGAATTATTTGCCAGGTAAAGTTGATGGGAACCTGAATCTGTGAAAAGCTCTGCTGGCCGGGTTCCTTCTTCAGGAGCAGATCCTGGAGAACATCTCCTTGGGACAAGACCTGTCCTGTCCATGGGCAGTGCTGGGATCTCGCAGGCAGCAAGAAGCGATAAAGAAAAATTAGATCTGGCTGGCAAAAAACGTTCCCGTGGGAAATTTTGACTTTCTGTCAGAAACTGCAGTGCATTTCTTTTTCAGCACCAAATAAGCATGAATAGGAACAAAGATTCAGTTTTGGCAGGGGGAATGGACTTACCAAAGAAAACACCCAAATTTTTAAGCAAAGCAGACACATTCTATAATTTTTCTCCCTGGATGAAAATAAAAACAAAAATAAAAACCCCAACGATTTTCCAGAAAGGAAAAAAATAAATTTGATGAAAAAATTGTAACTAGTTCTCACACCACTACCTGAGGCAAAATCAGCTAATTTGGCTAATTGATCTACACCTTCAGCACGGCTGTTCAGCAGGGTTTGGCCGCCTCTGCCTTCCCTCTCAAGCGGTGGGAGATGCCTCCAGCGTGCAACCGGCAGCATCACCACCAACTGCCCGCTCATCCCCTGCCCCTGCCCGGCGCAGGCGGGTCCACAGCCCCCGCTGACCGCAGGGCCTGACTTTCTCTCGGGATTTAGGAGAGAAACCAGGGTGGGCTGATGGTCATGAACAAGTGGGTGGGAGCTGAATAGGGTTATTGTGATCTTTATCTGGGGGGATTATTCCAGGCAGTGTGGGCTTGGCAGGGTAACACGGTTGTTTGGCCGTGGCTGGTTTTGCAGAGCGATAGGTACGGCCCCGGGGAACGGCGCACCGGGATCGGGCTGTGGAAAATTATTTTACGGTACCTTCATCCTTGCAAAACATTCACTTCCCGGCAAAGTCGGTGGAAAAGGAAAAAACAGAGCGATTTTCGTTTGCAGAAGTCTGACGCGGCTGGGACTGCTCATGGTCTGAAATGCAAAGCCTGGCATAAAAGTGACACATTTTACTGGAAACTGGGAACTTGTTTCCCTTTTATTGGAAATAAATTGGAAGGGAGAAGGATGGTAAGAGCACGGGGCCAGCACAATAACTGAAGCATTTTTCAGGAGCATTTGAGGACCCTGTAGAGTAGACTGAGGGTCCGATAGCACCCCGAGATCGCACCAAAATTTGTGGTATCGCTGATTGCGGTAACTGCAGGCAGGGAACTCGTCCCAGCCCGTGAGCGGGGGTTGAGGCTGGGGGAGTTGGACGTCTCCTGTCCTCGGCCCAGAGAATAATATAAGAAATAACCGAGACGCGGATCCCCGTCCCCGAGCGCTGCCGGGCAGAGGGATCCACGGGACGGAAGAAAAGCAAACGCGGAGAAACCCCGGCATCGCTCGGGACGCGACACCTCCCCGCCGCTTCCCCCCTCTCGACGGGACCCGCATCCCGGGAGAGCTGGGGCTTCGGAACGGGGCCGAGCATCGCTGCCGGGACCCCCGCGCCTCCCCCGGCGCCTCCCCCGCGTGTGCCCCGGTGCCACCGGGCCGCAGGAACGGGACCCCCTCCCCGCCGGACACCCCGGGCTCGGCCGTGCCTCGGTGTTGAAGGCGGCGGCGAAGAAACTGCGCTCTCTGCGAGGGACACATCTGATTGTGATTTGGGGAAAAAAAAAAAAAGAAAATAAAAGAAAAGAAGGGAAAGAAAACAAAACCAAAAAAATAAGGCGCCCAACCCCGGCCACTCGGCGAGGGTTTTTTCCTATCGTCGGAGCTGCAAATATTTTGGAAGACGGGGCCGTGTTTTCCGTGTAAACAAGGCGGCGGCGGGGGCCGGAGCCGCGCTCCGCGGGGCCGGGGAGTCCCGGCGCGGAGAGCCGAGCCCAGCCCGGGGCATCCCAGACCCCGGGGCTGAGTCCCCACCAGCACACGGCTGAGCCAGGGGCTGGCACCGGCCCCCCAAACCGCGACGAGGAGGGGACCGGCAGCGCACGGGGTTCCCGCTGGGAAGCGGGGAAATGGAAAATCGCGGGGAATCGTTAGCGGGATATGTGAAGACTCACGGGGAAGAGCAACCCAAAGCTTTCACCCTTATTCCCCCCTGGCAGAAGCGAAGGACATCCCGTCTCCGCTCAGGGACAGCCAGGAACGGTGCGAGTTTCTCGCCCGGGATGGAACGATCCGGCTGCTGCCGGGTTCTCATTTGGCCTCGGGGCTCATTCAAGTCCCCGCCGCCCCGCCACCGCCTCCCGGGGCCGCCCGCACCCCTCGGGGAGGCAGCGGCGGGAACCGTAAGCACTGCCGGGTTTCCCTCCCCTGCTCCCAACCACTTTCCTCCTCCGCGGAGGCCGGAGCTCGTCCTCGTCTTGTCCGGGCACGGAGCCTCTCGGGCTCTGCGGCGGGTCTCTGAGCCGGTGTCTCGGAGAAGAGAACGGGGCTGCCGGCGAGCTCCGGGATCCCCGGACCGAACCCAGGCCGTGCCCTGCGGGACCCCCGGCAGGGACCTGCCTGTGACGGGAGACCCTCCTCAACCAGCCAGGGCCCCTCCGCGCTTCTCCGGACACGAACGGCCTTTTCTCGGATTCCTGAGTGTCTCTTCTCCCCCCTTCTGAGCTCCTTGGTGTCTCCTGCCTCGCGTTTCCGAGGTTTCCTGCTGTTCCCTGCTCTGTGCTCCGGAGTCCCCCCGTACTCCCTGTCCTGCGCCGCCAAGTGCCTCGGTGTGCCCCCGTCTTGTTGTCCCGGCTGCCTCGGGTCTCCCCTCTCCCACACCTCCGGGGCTCTCGGTATGCCCTCCCCCAAATTCCTGTGCCTCGCCGTGCCCTGCCCGGAGGTCTCCGGTTCCCCATGCCCCCTGCTTTGCACCCGGACATCCCTCGGTGTTGTCACCATCGCGCTCCCGGGTGCCTCAGTGTTCCCTGCCTGGAGCTGCCGGACGCCTCGGTGTCCCATCCCCTGCGCTTCCGAGCTCCTTCACAGCCCCGTTCCGAGCTTCTGGGCCCCTCGGCGTCCCGTCCTTTGCCCTACGCTCCCCGGTACCTCATTGTCCTCACCCTGTCCTGTTCTCCATCTCCCCGCGTGTTCCTGTCCTGCTCGCCGTGTCCCTGGATGTCCTCGTGCCTTTCGCTCCCGTACCCCGCGGGTCCTTCGCTCTGCCCTCCCTCTCCCTGCCCCTCCGGGGACCTCCGCGCCCTCTCGCCGTCCTTCTCCCCGCCTCTGCCGCGGCGCTGGACTCACCCACACACTCGTTGGCCTCCCGGGCCGTCGCTCGCTGCCAGGGCCGGTCGTAGTGGAAGGGCTTGCAGCGGTCGCACTCGGGGCCGGCCGTGTTGTGCTTGCAGTCGCACACCAAGCTGTCGTCGCGGTCACGGACACAGCGCGACGCGTGGCCGTTGCACTTGCATCGCCCGCCGACCTGCAAGTCGGAGACGGCGTAGAAGTAGGAGTCGCGGGCCAGCTCGGAGTCATCCTCGCTCTCGTCGCCGAAGGTGTGGAGGCGGCTGAAGGTGACCCTGATGTCGGTGGCCGTCACCCAGTCCTGCAGCACGGGCGAGTTGTCGAAGTCGTGGGCGGTGGGGCGGCCGTCCAGGGTGCTGAAGGCGATGAGGCCGCCGGAGAGGGGCCGCACGTCGGTGTGCGAGTCGGTGCACACCGCCTCCTGCTCGTTCTGCTTCGTGATGGCGGCGCGGTTCGGCTTGTTGTACATCTTGCGGCACTGCGTGGAGTAGAACTGGAAGGGCACCCAGGTCTTGCCGTAGTCCATGGACTTGTGGATGGCCATGGACTCGGGGCGCGGCGAGCAGAACTGCAGGCTGACGTAGGTCACCTCGAATTTCTTGCCGAGGGAGAGGGTGAGGGTGACGTTGTGGGGGTACTGGACGTAGCTGTCGGACTGCCAGCAGGTCAGGTTGTGCGGGTTGTTGAGGTCGGTGAGGAAGGAGGGCGGGTGGGCGCGCTTGGGGTCGGAGGCGTTGCAGAGGTGGCAGGTGCGGACCTGCTCCTCGCCCTTCTCCGTCACCACGCAGTACCGCGACGGCGGCTTCCCGCAGGTGCTGGACACCTTCACCTCCTTCCCGAAGGCCGAGTTGACGAAGTCGGGGATGCAGCGGCGGGGCAGCCCGTGCTCGTCGTAGCAGGGGTCGGGCTGGGCTGTCTGCACGGCGAACATGCTCACGCCGTGGTAGCCCCCGCGCAGGGGCTGCGCCAGCCACGCCGCCGCCAGCAGCAGGGCCAGCGGCGCCTCCGCGCCCCTCCGCGGCATCCTGCGCGACCTCCGCGCGGCGTGGGGACAGCGGGGAGGGGGCACGGGGGACACGGGGGAGCCGCCGCTCGGGCGCGCAGCTCCGCGGGGCGCCTCGGCCGAGGGACGCGGTGCGGCGGCTCAGGGAGCGCGGAGCATCGCCCGCCCCGCGGCCAGCCCCGCGGAGAAAGGGGAGACCGCGGCGGCGGCGGCACCACAAAAGTGGGGCTGGCGGCGGGGCTGGGTCCCGCCTGCCTCCCGCCCCGGCCCTCGCACGGAGAATGACTGGCGGTCCCAGCCCCCGCCGCGTTTGAGGTCATGCTAAAGGAGTGACATCGCGCTCAAGGAACAGAACAACGACATCCACTGGCGGCTCAGCCAGAGACGCGCACAGGCCTCGGGGAGGGCGGGGGGGGGATGGGAGTGGGACGGAGCCCGCCTCGACACCGCGGCGATGGGCGCCAGCGCCGCCGCGGGGCTCCCGAGCCGCCCCGAGCACCGCGGAAGGACCATCCTGCTCCCCCCCGGCCCTCCGTGCCCCCGACGGGGCTGGGGGAGCCCAGGGCCGCCTGCGCCCCAGCAGCTGGGGATGCTCCGTGGGCGTGGAGCGGGGAGAGGGGGGGAGCGGCCGGGAGGAGCCCCCCGCCCACCTGTGGGGACGCCGAGAGGGACAGGATGGGGACGTCTCCCAGCTGGTCGCTGCTGGCCTCCCCTCTCTAGCAGGCCAGACAGGGACTGGTCCCCTCAGCTGGACCGGGAGGGGGGGCCGGGGCAGAGCCCGAAGCACGTCCGGGCACCGGCCCGCTCCGAGGGGGCTCCCAGAGGGTCTCGGCCCACAGCCTTCGCCCCTGGGACAGAAACTCCGATGCCGGGGAAGTTGAACAGGGAGAAATCTCGAGTCTTTGGGCACTACACGGGAACTAACGGGCCTGGCGACCTTCGGGAGGTTGTTTTAGGGGGTCGATCTCGTCTCCCTAGCACAGCCCTGGGACAATCCAGGCACAGGGGCCGCCCCCCGCCTCGGTTTGCAGCTTGTTGGGGCTCCCGTTAAAGCGAGGAAGGGGTTAAAGGGCGGCACTTGTCCCGCACTGGGCCGTGGCCCAGCCCCGGTCTCCCCTTCCCGCCCGTCCTGCGGACCCTCCGTGCCGGGGGGCTGCCCCCGGCGGCCGCCTCCGTCCTGATCAGCTCTGTCCCAGCGCATCCCCCCGGTGATCCCGGCCGGGGGCAGAGCCCCAGGGGACACTACCGAGATCTAGGAGAGACGGTCCCGCGAGGGAGCGGAGAGTTTCCCTCCCGCGGCTCCCGGCCGCCCTGCTCGCCCCCCTTCCCTCTCTCTTTGATTAAAAGGGCACTTTTATTTTTCCAACGGAGGTGCCCTCTCTCGGAGCGCTGCCCACGCCGTGTCACTCAAGCGGCCTGGCCCTGGCACGGCGGCGCGGTCCCCTCCCCGGCGAGCCCCGGCGGGGCGGCCCGAGGGGACGGGGGCTGCCCGGGCAGCCGTGAGCCCCAGGCCGGCCTCCGCCCCCTCCCCTCCTCCCGCCCCTCTCCCCGCTTTGAATTCCTTGCCACCGAGCTGAATAAAAGTGGTTGTTGTAAATTGAATTAGTGCCTGATTAATCTGCTCCCGGGCCTGCTAGCCCAGCGGGGCGTCTTTGGCAATGCAACCGCCTTCCCTGCAGGGCAGCGGGGCTCCGCAGCCTCCCTGCCCCCACTGCTCCCCCCGGATCTCCCCCACCCGCCCCCCAGCCCCGCCACTCCCGGGATTTGTTAACTCTTCCCCGGGAAACAGCCCCTCCGTCCCGCTCCCGGGGCTCTTGGTGCTCCTTCGCCGGAGGAAGAGGGGTGTTTGTGTGTATTGGGGATGCGTCGGGCCAGGACTAGGGGGGCAGTTCCCAGTCCCGCTGGTCTCACCCGAGCTGTCCTTGGACTCAGTCGCAGCCCGGCACACCCGGGACACACACGGACAATCCTGAGATACCCCAGCCCCGAAGAAAGATTTTCCCCCGCTCTTGAATTGAGGACCTATTTGCGTAATTGAGATAGGGTGGTACCTCAAGGAGGAAAGGGGACAATTTAGACCAAACTGTCCCGGGCCGTGGGGACCAGGCCGGGAGAGAGCTGCGGGAGGCCCCGGGCCATCGCCGCCCGGTGCGGGCTCTCCCCAGGGTGGGCTGGGTGGGCTCGGCCGCGGCTGTGCGGACAACTCGGGATGGGAATCCCCAGCCGGGAGCCCCAAATTCGGGCCCTCAGACTCTTCCACGTGCCTGCCATGAGCATCCGCGCTCGTCGTTTCTGAGCCCCCGCTCTGTCCGCCCGGCGTTTTTCCTTCGGCCACGCACGTCCGGGACCAGCCCTTCCTTGCGGGACTCCCCGTCCGCCCGTTCCGGGCCGTGCCGGGGAGGGCAAGCGATGGGGCCACCGGCTCCTGTGCCCGGGGACGGGGGGACACTCGGGGCTGTCTGGGGGCGCAGCAGGTGCCGTTGCGAGGACCCGCGTTTCTCCAGGAAAGGACGCGGTTTTGGCTCCGGTTTCTCCCGACGCTCCTCGACCCTCTTTCCGGCCCGGCCGCAGCACTGGGAATGCCGCCGGGCACCGGGCGAAGGATAGGGCTGAAATTTTAGAGTTTCCTTAAAATCCGGGAAGGTTTTTAAAGGTCACCTCTCACCTTCCCAATCCCTCAAAGCCCGCACTGTTCTTTAACGCCTCACGGCAAAAAAATGGGGTGAATCTAAGAAATCCCGACTCCCGCTAAACTCCCCCGCAAACCCGAGGTGCTGCCTAATCCCATTAGCAGGGTGTTAATTTAACAACCACCCGGCGCTGCCGAGCGCGGGGCCCCCGCACTGCCCGGCGGCGTTCCCGGGGCTGCGGCTCTCGCCTCTCTCCTGCCCTTCTCACTGAGTTTATTCGGTGTTTCACAACCCCCGGGGTTTGTAATGGCTCTTGCGGTCATTAACGTGATTTACTGAGGCTTTCTCCTCTAATTACCTCGCCCTCGAGCTATTAAATGCGTGTAAGCAGTTCCGCGGGGACCGAGGCGCAACTCTCCGAGCCTCGGGCCCGAGTCTGTCCGCCCGCTCCGGGCAGGGGCCTGGGGCAGTCCCGGGAGGATGGAGCAGGGCGGGTGCTCGGGGTACCAGGCCACAGGTGGCCCCCCTACCTTGGGGTTTGATTTTCCTGTCATTAAGCACCAGCTAACCCCGGCCCTCTCCTGGCTCGGAAGGGGACAGATCCTTGCCGAATCCAGCCCCGGTGCGACCCCGATGCACGCTCGCTCTCTCTCCGGGACCGGAGCATCTCCTGTACCCGCACCGGGATCGAAGCATCTCCGGTACCTGCACCAGGGACGGAGCATCGCTGGTACCAGCACCGGAGCACCTCCGGTACTTTCACCGGGACCGGAGCATCTCCAGTACCTCCGGTACCTGCCCCGGGAACGCGGCCGATCCCCGTGAGGGCCCGGGGGCTGAGCGGCGGCGGGGCACGGCCGATCCAGGGCAGAGCAGAGCCTCCCCGTTCCCCCGCGTTGGGCCCGGGAGAAGCCCCGGTGACGGAGAGCCGAGAAGGGCTTTATTTCAGCCTCACCGGGAAAGGCCGCCCCGGCGCTCGGAGCCTGTTTTAAAAGTCAAATGGCTTCGGGTGCCGGAGCTCGTCCTCCTCGCCGGGAACAATGCGCTGCTCCTCGCCCACCTCCCCCTGCACGGCCCGGGTTTGGAGAAGGGAGGGGGAAAATCCGGGCGGCTCTTCCCCTCCTCGGCTCTCGGGGGGCCGTTCCCCGGCGGGATCGGGAGCGGCTGGAAAAGCAGAGAAGACCCGGGTTGAAATAATCAGGAGCGATTTATTCCCCTGGAGTGACAGTTCTTTTGAGCAGTTGCCGAATGGCAGTTTCTGTCTTTCTGAAAGCTTTTCTTCCAGATTCTGTTCAGATTAGGCTGGGGAGATGAATGAGGCCATTATCCAGCCCAGTAGCTATTCTGAAATGCCAAATTAATTACCAAGGGCTAAATCAAGGCGATGGGGGCTGAAGGCGGAGCGGGGGCGGGGGGGGGGGAAAGGCGGCGGCGGTTTGAGGTGTGAAAATATCTCCGCGATCTTTTAAACACTGACACGGCGGGCGGCCCGGGGTGCTCCCCTCAAACCCCCCAAACCTCGCTCCGCAGGTGATGGGGGCAGCGGCGTCTGGAGGGGCCCCGGCCGGGCGGAGCGGGCGAGAAGACTCTGCGGGGTCCCGCTCTGGCTGCCCCCTCCCCGGCTCCGGAACGGCCCCGCCGGCCGCCGCATCTCTCACCCGGCCGGGGCCGGGGTCGAGGCCGCTCGCCCCCTCTCGATGCTCACGGGTCCGTCGGGGCTCTCCGCCACCTGCCCGCCGACCCCGCAGCGGAGCGAGGAGCAGCCGCGCTCTCCCCAGTCCTGCTGCAGCGCTTTGTCATCGACTGAACCGCCGCGGAGGGAGCCTGGGGGATTCCCTGAGCTCCGAAGGGCCGGATGGGGGATGCAAAAAGTGATCAAACTGTCGCTTCTTTCACCAGTGTTTGCGAAGAGCGCGAGAAGGGAGTGTGGATGTGCAGCAATGCTGACCCGTAACTCGGTTCGCGTTATCTGGCTTGGAGGGTTACAGAAACACCGCGGGGAAAGGGGAGAAAGACCGATCTCAAGAAAATTAGGCAAGAAGGCACCGCTGGCTCTTCCCGCGCTGATGTCGCTCTGCCAGCACAGATCACAACATTCGCACATGACATTTAATCCTCCATCCTAAAGCTCTTTGGCTCTCGGCAGGCAGTTATTGTTATTATCGTTGCTCTAATATTTACACTTTGCTCCCAAACAAGTGTAATTTCCCTGGTCGCTTTGTAGATCCCTGGCCCTTAATCCAGTTTTCTCTTCGGTTCCCGGGAGACCACACCTCTGGCTCCTCTCATTCACGAAAAAAAATTGCGCGAATTTTACTCAAGAAAATTAAACGTTTAGGGAATGGTGGGTCAAACCTGACTATCAGTTTTGGGTTAGGGTTAGGGCTGAATCTTC